TATACACATCTGTATAGAGGGCACATCCATTTATCTCCAGTACAGAGCTACCATCCGTGTCGCCTTCAGGAGTCCAAAATCAAAAGCTGACTTAAAGCTGACTCGTTAGGATTTAGAACATTTTTGGATATTTATACCAAGCACAGACGTAACTTTCTGAAGGACTGGTGTGGACATGTCCCCACCAATTATTTCCGCTTTTTTCCCCTTTCCGCTTATTTACTTTAGCCAAAGGTAACAGAGTTTGGGTGCAGCTAACTGTGTTCACAGCGTTTTGAGTCCGTGTTTTTTTTTCTCCTCTCTACTGCTTTAACATCATCGGATCTTTTGCTTTGAGACATCAGATTTGCGGTCGCATTTCACTGCGTTCAGAGTAGCTACATGGAGGAGAGACAGAGAGCAGCAATCAGTGAATAGTAACCGGAAGCTGCTTTGATGTTTAAGTAAAAGTTAGGAGACGGGTTGGTTAAAAAAAATCAGAGATCATGCCACTGAAAAATCTGTTTGTTTGACATCCAGAGCTTTTTCAGCTAAAAATGGCAACAAATTATAAGTTTATACAAGTTAGTATTATTATGCAAGAAGCTTAAGAAAACATAGTTTGTTTTTCTTTACTAGTTAAATAAATCTCGGCTTCTCAGAGGGCCATGACTCACAGTTACAGGTTAAAATTAACATGTTTTCTTATTGTACAGATAGAATCAGACTGCAGAGCTTCTACATATCTTGATTTTTTTTTCTGGCATTATTATATTAGTAAATAGGTTCATGAATCTTTTTAAACAGAGCACAGAAAGAAGCAGGGAGAGCTGCAGATTTAAAGGGGAAACTGGGATATGCAACATGCAATAAAATATATCTCCAAGTGCACAAGAAATTTTACAAGAAAGAAATATGCTGTTCTATATTTAAAATGAAGCATATAGATATTTTTCTGGATGGTATTGAAATTGTACTTCTAGGGATGCATGATATATTGATTTTGGCCTCGGAATTGGCTATAATTTGTTATTTTTTTTAACACATTAATGTTTTTGGGCCCTATATATGTAATGCGCTAAAATACATCTCTCAAACTATCTATACATATAAATATTAGTGTTTTATAGTTATCTTGTGTTCTCAAAAATAGGAAAGCATTCAATAAATATATTTTTGAATATAAAACCTAATGAAAGTGTGCGGGTTGAGTAAGACACCCTTAGAGTGTCTTTCGTCACAAACTTACACCCTCGATACCAAGTATGCATATTTCTATCAGGTGAGGTATCATCACTCCAATGATCAGAGATAAAGTCAAAACAATTTCTTTTCAATATTTTGATTTATTTTTTGGCCAATCCCACACGTAGTGATATAAAGTACCTTTTCCTTCCAAACACTTAATCATCAGGAGACCACCGATTTAACTAAACCAGGGTAATGTATGTTCTTATCAACCATTTTTATTGCATTGTATCAAAATACCCTTATTTTGTAATGTTGCAAAGGTAAGAAGGTCTTGTCCTGGATTCCAATAAAACTATTGGCTTGAAATTTTTATTTTTAGAGTATTTCACTGACTGCCCTATAAAGGGTTTAAGAATTACCAGAGAAAATTATTTCCTTTACCTGCTCATCTTCTCTTCTCTGCTGATCACAGCTTTTGACCTGCAGCAACTGGAATTTCAGTAGCTTTGCCAGCAAGTCACAGGGTAGCTCCTGTCTGGCATCCAGCAGCTCCTTAGCAGACACTGCGACCTTCACAAACCAACAGAGAATATACTGACTGCGCAAAATATTAAAAACAATCAACTGCCATTTTATTTATTGTAAAATGTAATACTCTTTGAAGAACAAATGCTATCAAGCATCCGAAGCCTACCTCATAAAACATGGGAAGATCGTCTTGCTTTTTTCTCTTTGGATTCCCCAGCTCGTGGATCTGTGAGGACGACGATCGATTAGAGAGGAATATTTACATTTAATAACAATGATGGTTTGTTCTGCAAAATACAATAAGAGCTAAAAAAAAAAAAAAAAGAAAGGATCTAGAGGAGTTTCTAAAGGATTATGTTCTAATATTTACAACAGGACAGTTTATGTAAAACCTTAGCTTGTCTTAAATAGTTTAATTTTGAGTCATATGCTTTCTGAAAGTTATTCAGCTCATCAGCTTTTTAAATGTGAACAATTAAAGCATAGCAGCTTCACCGTTTTAAAGCTTTATTATATCATTACACCTTTTCCAAATAAAAACTGATAAAAAAAAAAATCAATAGTGTAATTTACTTTATCACAGGCAGATATTCCTATATGAAAGTTACCTTTTACCGCAAAACGTGTCAGCCATTTATTACCACCTTTGATTAAGATTAATCTGAAAAGTACAATTCATCCAAAATCATCATAGCGCAGGATAAGACTGGGGGTTTTTAATAGCTGTTGCCAACAGAGTATCAAACAGACAGAAATGGTTACAGGATGTTGCTGCAGTCTCTCATTTCAAATAAACAGTTTGTAAATGTGTGTTTTTGAATGGGTAACCACATGTAATGGGACAAAGAATAGAACAAAACTACCTTTATATTTCCACATAAGGGGAAATTTGGGTGCAACAGTGCTGCAAACATTAACAGAAGCTTACAGTGACACAGAAGACTTAACAAAAACAATACGCTTTGAGGGTGTTTTTCTGCACATGGGAAAGGGCGACTGAACTGTATGAAGGAGAGGATAATCGGGGCCATGTATTGTGAGATTTTGAGGGAAAATCTCCTTGCCTCAGTAAGAGCATTGAAGATGAGACGAAGATGGGTCTCCCCACATGACCCGAAGCACACGGCCAGGATAACCAAGGAGAGACTCTATAAGAAGCATATCAAGGTCCTGGTGTGGCCTAGCCAGTCTCCAGACCTAAACCCAATAGAGAATCTTTGGAGGGAGCTCAAACTCTGCTTCTCAGCGACAGCCTGATCTAGCCTGATCCCTCCTGCAGATTGTGCAAACCTGGTTAAAAACTACAAGAAACATTTGACCTCTGTAAATAACAAATGCTTCTGCACCAAATATTAATAGTGATTTTCTCAGGTGTTTAAATACTTATTTACAGCTGTATCATGCAAATAAATTGTTTAAAAGAATCATATATTGTGATTTCTATTTTTTAAGATTATATACATTGGACATGCGCCTACGATAACAATTTCAGACCCCTCCATGATTTCTAAATGGGAGAACTTGCAAAATAGGGTGTTCAAATACTTATTCTCCTCACTGCATTTCACTTGTGCAAAGAGACGATAATCAAAACAAAAACATCCATAAAATGAACATTCACAATTTCCATAAAACATCTCACATATTTCACACATTTAATTAAACAAAACACAAACACTCAACAACATATATCAATGCAGCCGTTTTAGGTTGATTGTGCATTTTGATATTTAAGAAACTCTATTAAAGGATTCTATAGAGTCTCAAACTCTGCAGCCGTTCCCCTGGTTATACAAGTCAGCCTTTCCAGCATAATGCAAGATGCCATCTGCTTTATATCGAGGGCACATCCATTTTTCTCCAGTACAGAGCTACCATCCTCCTCGCCTTCAGGAGTCCAAATCAATTAAAGTTGACTCGTTAGGATTTAGAAAGTTTTTTGGATATATATACCAAGTATACATATTTCTTCCAGGTGAGGTATCTTCACTCCAATGATCTCAGATAAAGTCAGAAAAATTTCTTTCCAACATTTTTTGTGCAACAAACATTATTGACAAAAGCTTACAGGTAAACAGAAGACACAACAATTTGAAAAATAATTCACTTTTTATTTCAACTATCCAGTAAAGGAGAACAATGTTATGTTATACTAGAGAATAATTAATGAGAATGCAAATATTCAAACTGGTTACACAAAGATGAAAAAACTGTTGCTCTGTACAGATATTTGTGTGTGTCAGGTACATTTAACCTTTAGCAATAAAAGATACCTTAGCAAGTGTGCTGTCCCAAGTTATGAGGGTGAAGAGTTTTTGCTGTGGTTGCTGAAGAGCCGACACCAGAGGCTGAATGAGTTCCTCTTCTTCCTTGGGACTGCCTCCAACCACAGCAGAGACACAGGCCTGCCATGAGTCCTGAGGAGGTAGTGACACCAGAACAAACAGCTTAAATTGAACAACGCCATAGCCGTCTTTCATGTTAACTTTCATAACTATTTATTTTTCTTTAGTTTTAGGTAACTTAACACTTAAATGCGAAAATCTAAAATAAAAGCAGGAATTTAAAATCAGTCCTGAGTGTTCTGCTGTACAAATGTACTGACAATAGCGAGGGTGAGTAAAATCTGGCATTTACACACACCTTTCAAAATAAAAGCCCTAAAGAATGCTGTAACTTGTGTAAAAAAAAAACCTATGTTGATTTTCTCTTAAATGGGCTTTAATACAACTGAAACTCAATAACGTTAGGTTTAATACATCAGAACAATGAAGTCAGTTTAAAAACTTAAAGACAGTAATCTTTAAATTATGGATTGGAGTGCTTGCATTTATCCATTTTAATGATAATGTCTTACAACTATAAAACATTCTTAAACAATGCTTTTTCTGTAAATTACAACATTAATTAGGAATAATTAAAAATCAGTGTTAAAATAGAAATTATAGCCTACAAAAAAGTCCACATACAGTCCAATAATCCACTATGGTTGGAGGTTTATCCTGCACACAAAAGAAAAATGACTGTGTAAAAGCATTTCCATAAAAAGAAAAAATAAGGGTTCTGCTTTAATTTACTTTACTCAAATTTCCTGTTTGAATTACATATACTGTATCTATAGCATGACACAAAGACAGCACGTGGTTTTTTTTCCCAGGTAGAGGAAGAGCTGATCGGTTTATTAACTAAGTCCATTTAGGTTATTGGGTCTGATGTGTCTCATCTTCCTCTTGAATAAACTCCTTAGATTCTGTAAGGTTTAGGTCAGATCAGTCAGGGAAAGTAATTTCAGCTGCCATTATCAGGAATTGTACCTTTGGTACCGTGGTCAGGTGCCAAGTCCTCCTGAAATAAAATCAGCAATTCTATAAAGCTTGTCAGCAGATGTACTGTGTGCATTAAGCGCTCTAAACTTCTCCTGGTAGATGGCTGCACTGACTCAATGGTTTGGAAAACCTCACATCAGGACCTCATACAACCTTAAAAATGGATGTTGTTTTCAAAACAATCTCAAACAATTAATATTCATTAACTCACAATCCCATCAAGGCTGCAATTATTCTTGTAGCTCTTGCATCTTTTTCATCTATACTTTTTCCTTCAACTTAACTTTCCATTTACATTATTCAATACAGAACTTTGTAACTGTCTTAAGCAATTACCTTTTGTGGCTTACCCTCCCTTTTCTGGAGGACCAATCCTGCCATAATTAAAATTAAATACATAAATAAATAAATGCTCCAGAAATAAATAAGCATACAATTATTAAGTAATAAATAAATAAAGTTTAAGATTATAAAGGACATTAAATAAGGTAATTATTACAAAGGCGAAAAACAAAGAAGCTAATTAAAAGAGATATATACATTTATGTCTCACTGTATAATTTAATTTCTATCTACATTTATTTGATTATTGTGTTTTTAGTGGGGAATTAATTGTATGCTTATTTATTTTTGGAGCATTTAGTTATTTTTGTATTTATTTCTATTTATGGTAGGATTGGTCCTCCATACCTTTCGGATAGTTGTTTTAGATTTACTGCGTTATTAAATATTTCTGGGGGGAAAATTTCATCTTTTTTTTGTTTGTTTTGTTTTCAGTAGCTGACCAAACTAATTAGAGTGATTGGTAATAAACCGTTAGAATTATAGTTCAATGTATAATGCCTTTTTACGGAAGAGGATTAGGGGCACTGGAAAAAAAAAAAGTTAACTGATTTTTACATTTTATCTCAGTATAATATTTTTTTAATTCTGAGAAAAATGAATCTCAGCATTCTGACTTTAATCTCAGAATTTTGACTTTTTTCCCCCTCAGAATTCTGGCTTTAATCTCAGAATTTTGGATCTTAATGTAGATGGGCATCAAGAAGGAAGAGATGTGGGAGCACACAGCTTCACTGACAAAGATATGAGGTGTTTGGGAGGGCCAGTAACACATTGGTGGAAAATTACGGAATTAGGCAACTTTTTACGTGATGATATTGAACCCAAAGATGCTATTTACGGTAAATAATGAAAGGGCAGAAGGTGATTAAAACAAGAGAGCTAGTTTAGTCTTTAAAACAGACATGGCAACAGCTTGAAGTCTGTCAGAATTCAGTCAGAATTCTGAGAAAAAAATAAGAATTCTGAGATTAAAGTAGGAATTGTGAGAAAAGTCACAATTCTGACTTTTTTCTCCTATTATAGGCTACTTAAAACATAATGTAAAAATCAGTTAACTATTTTTTATTTTTTCAGTGGCCCTAATCCTCTTTTGTGCCTTTTAGTTAAGCATTTTGCATTCTTTTAATATGCCCACTTTACTACTTCGTTCAGATTAACGCCGATGAAAACACAGCGGTTAGCCGAACAGAAAGACTTGCTTTTAGTTCGTTAATAATTATATATTCACCCACACATTATACCAAGCTAATGATAAATAACAAACTCATATATTACATTTCAAACAAGAACAAATAACACCAAATTACCTCATTAAACTGCGCTTCGACAAGTGCTGTCTCCCATTTATTACAGCGTTTCTTTGCAGGGCGGTTTTTAGCAACTGCCTTCGCCATTCCTGAAAATGTAAGAGGCTAAAGGTAAACCGCGGCCCGCTTTAAATGTTGTGGTCTGGAGCCTCTTGTTGCCCTTAGCAACCACTGTAAACGTTAAAGCAAAGTTCTTAAAGGAGCCGTACTTGTAGACTTGAAATGACTTAATAAAAGAGTTTAAAATGACAAATATCAGTTATACCACCATGGATTCTTCCAGAAGCAATAGTAAATATGTCACTAATGGAAGAGAAACAAGATAAATCGTACACGATAAATTAATTTATCACAGTTACATTTAGACAGTTATTATCAATATATTCACATTTATACAGGTGTATCAAAAATAACAAGGAAAATAGGAATAGCTTTTGTAATACCAGAATTCAATATAAAAATAGGAAAACGATTTTAGGATGGATTATCAGTATACACTGGGGAAATGTTGGCAATACTAGTAGCTTTACAATGGGTAGAAGACATAAAAACATTAAAAACAGTAATTTATTCAGATTCAAGCTCTGCATTATTAAGTTTAAAATATAACCAATCAGATAGTAGGATGGACAATTTATTAAAAAATATTCCATACATTATTCAGAATAAAATTTATGGCTTCGATATTTGTATTTGTGTGGGTTCCAGCACATGGAGTAAAAGGAAACAAGAGGGTAGATAAAATGGCAAAGAGAGCAATTAAAAATCTTATTAGTTTTACAGTTAAAACAAGTAAATCAGAGGGAAAGAGTATTATTAAGGAAAAAAATCATGGAAAAATGGCAACAAAAAAAAGGTGGGATGAAGAAAAAACAAGAAGGTGGTTTTATAAAATTCAGAAGATAGTAGGAAAAAGAAGAAACGGAAGATGAAATAGAAAGGAGGAGAGAGTGATAACAAGGTTAAGATTTTTTCAAACAGGACTTAATTATACACATTTTAAAATTCAAAAGCATACTACTGGCAAATGTGATTACTGTGGAAAATATGAAACAATAGAACATGTTATACTGGAATGTCATAAATATGAAAGCGAGAGAAGATATAAGAGGAACGAGTTTTACTGTATTAAGGAAAATATTAATTTATTAGATATTTTAGATTTTTAATGAAAACTAAATGATTACATAGAATTTGATTATAGAGAAGGTGAATGTGTGTATGATATAGACAGGTAGAATACAAAGTTATGTATAAATATGTAGTTTCTTTTCTTTCCTAAGAAATTATATATGTTTATTAAGTAGATAGTCCATCACGAGCCACACTCCATAACAATAAGTGGCGATAATGCTACTAAATGTTTGTTGCCAACCAATAAATCCAACAAGAAGAAGAAGACTTGAAATGGTGCATAAAATATGTCTGCTGGATAAAGTTTAGAGTTTGAATAGAATATAAACAAAATATAATTTCTTTAAATGGCTGAAAAGCTGACCTTAAATATCCCTCCTCCTCCCTCCGTTTTAACTCAGAGCTTCATCTTTTTGTTAAATAATCAAAGCTGCTTGGTGACCCCAATGTGTTTTTATGTAGGCATACTTCCCCACTTTAACAACCACACAACACAAAATTGTGCACATCTATGTGTGCTGCCAACAGCCTTGCTTGTTTATGCATCGCTAAGCGAAATGTCCTCAGGGCTTAAACCTAATGAAAACTAATGTCTGCAAATACGAATTTCAGTGTCTCAGCAATGGAGAGTTGTTCCTGGCTCTTCCTGTGCTAGAGATAACACTGAAGGTTGTGTCTGGAAATATTTTTAACTCACTAAATTTTTAAAATTACTGTATGAGAAAATCTTGAATTAATCAAAATTAAATCTCCTAACATATATTGCCAAATAAAAATCAACCCACATTATCTTGCTTTGGCTCTAAAGCATACACAAGTCTGACCTGCTTCTGAATACTTCTGGTGATTACTGTATCCCTCTGTTAGAGAACACTTATTGGCATTTTCAATTATATTATTTACAACAAAGAGTGCTTGCTTTGTCTTGATATAGTTACAAATTTTGCACTCTTCATCCCAATGCAAAGGCCCTATTTAAACAGGATTGCATCCAATTAACCATACTTGACTTCCAGCTGAACAAGGCTCACCATTTGTCGAGTCCGACTGGGTTTCAAAGAGAAAGAAGCAGATATGCAGATATTGACAGAAATTAAATAAGTTCTTTGGCGCACAGGCTCTGGCAGAACACTTTGATGCTGTGAATCAACGTAAGCTTGAATGAGAAACCAGGGAAAATAATTAGAGTAGTCCTCAACTCTATTCAGTTTATTTATATAGCGCCAATTCACAAAACATGTCATCTCAAGGCACTTTAAAGAGACAATTCAACCAGATCATACAGTCAGACTTGTTCAAAGTTTTCTATCTAAAGGAAACCAGTTGATTGCATCGACTCATTGACTCAAAGACAATCCCTCACACATGGCATGCTTGTAGCGACAGTAGAAAGGAAAAACTCCCTTTTAACAGGAAGAAACCTCCAGCAGAACCAGGCTCAGTGTGTGGTCCCCCTCAGGATCCGGACACCGGTGGTGGAATAAGCCAGAGGGTGAGTTGGACTTAGAATAATCTGAGAGTGAGGGAGGAGATGGGGCAGAGGTGGGTGAAAGTTTTTTTGGATTCAGGAGAGAGAAGCTGGGTCAGGAGATAAATGAAGGGGATCTTTGAAGGTGATTAGCTTCGGCGGAGGTGTGGCCCCGAGATGATTGACGAAAGCTGGGTTAGGGACATTGCAGGAGGTTCAAGTGAAGCTGCAAGTGAAGTCTTCCACAATTAATTTTCCATTAACCCTCATGTTTCACAAAATGCTTTATTTCTAAACTATTTGACCAACATTGAAAGTGATATTTTTTTTTACATGAACTTTCATTAATAAGTTATTGCAGTGTGTTTCCTCCCTCAGCTGGATCCACTCTGGCTGTCTCTCTCTCTTAGTGATGTTTAGTGTAATTAAAAGCTCTCTGGAAAACAACTGCAGAAACAGATAAGAAATGAATTTCCTCACAAAAAAACAATAAGCAACAAAAAAATATTTTTTGCACAATAAAACAAGTTTCACAAAACACAATTAGAAAAACATACACTATTTTACACGGAAAAAAACATAAAACCATTTGTTGTCCAGTTCTAAGAGATGGTTCTGTTCTGTTTCTTTAAGTCTTACATTTAGTGGTTCAAAAGTACTTATTCCCATCTTCATTGTCAGTTGACATTTACATTATGTGTTAAATCACACAGAAATCCTTTGTGAAACTTTCCTTTCATGTTTGCTTTCATTTTTTTCCATATAAAAAAAACCGCAATCTTCATGGGGGCCCTCCTGAGTGCAGCACAGAGATACAGAGTGAAACCCCCGCTGAGCTTCCTGGCTGCTAACAAAGAAGTCTTATCAGGACCTTTTTCGAGGTTAAATGTGTTTTGTCTGGTTTACATTTGTGTGATGTTTCACAATAGGCCACCGTACCGAGCAAAGAAAGCCAATTAAACCATATTTAGGGTTGAATAAGGACTATTAATCACAAAGGAAGCTTCTTGGTTCGTCCTTGTAGACTCATTAAATCGATCATCTAAAAGGTTAATCAGTGTTCCAATTAGTTTAAGCTTTGAGTTATCAGTTTAAAGCTGCATTGTGACATGTTCATGCTCTATTTTAGTTTTTTGCTTTTCAGAGCGAGCTCTGGCATCTCTTTAAAACCGGTCAACTGAAATATTCTATTACTCTGTTCTTCATCATAACCAAGTTCCCACAACTTTAAACATAGTATTCCCAGTATATTTAATTAAGGTTAACCAGCTTATTGTGTTTTATTTTCATTTTTTTTCACATATAATTTCATTAAAATATGAAAGTTGTGGCATAATATCTCAGTTATTTAAATAGTTTGATGAGCCCATTTGCAATAGTCATTACCTCCATCTCTAAATATTTGGCAGGGATACAGTGAAATATGCTCTCAATTTAAAGGAACGTCCAGTCAGCAAGGAATAATCAATGAATCATTATTTATACCTAAAACTAATATGGTTGCAGTCATTTCATTAATTAAGTGTTAATCAGTAAAAAAATAAAAACAATAGCTTTTGGCACGATCACTGAGTCTGGGAGCGGCCATTTTTGCCCAAATATAGCAACACCTCACTCCTGACATCTTGCGGCAGTGACGTCATGATGCGGTAAGCCAAAGGCCATTCTCCCCACTTTACAAGCAAAATCAATAGGAACTACTAGACACACCTGCAATCAACAATAATTATTTAAGATTTTGAGAGGAACTCACCAATGAAATTGGCCAATAGCTATAGTTCACCTGACAATGCCAACATGCATGGCAGTTGGATGTTGTAATGCATCCTGTAAAAGTGGAAAAAAAAGAGTTATTTCACCTTTCAGATTCATGACCCACCACGGGTTTGCCAACTTGAAGGGGATTTGCCATCAAACTTCTGGCCAGAGAACAAACATGTAATATGTAGCCAACGTTTCAAAGAAGAATGTTTTCAAGATGACTTGGATAACAGCGCATTGTGACAAACAAGAGATACAGCCCTGGGACTTGCTCAACAGCCAATACCGCACCGTGACGTCACAAACCTGTAGGTGGCGATAGTGTTCTTTGACAAACATGGATGTCTCAAGTAAAGCACATTCAAATGAAAATTGCTCTTAATTAAAAAAACGTATAATTTATTGAACAGTATGTAATAATTTAATATTTAAAGTACTTTCAGGAGCTTCAATTCTGAATATGAATCGACTTCTCCTTTAAACTCATTCCTGTGGATGAGCCTTCACCGGATGATTCAAAATCTGAGTAGTTTGGTTTTATAATAGTTTAATATTTGCAGCACATTTTTAAAACTTTTAGTTTGTCTTTACACATTTTCTTCTTTTGTAATTTATTTCGAAATTAACCTATTCTTATGTAAATTGCATTTGACTTAGTAAGGTTTTGTATTTAAAGTTTTGTTGTTTTCTTTAAGCCATGTATATGCTTTTTAAACATCACAGACCAATCTACATCTCTTCGGTATTTTAATTAACAGACGTAGTGTTTTGGAG